CACAGAACTTAGGATGCCACATTCTGCTCCACTGCTTAGATTTCAGAGTGACATTAGGACAGCTAGACTACTGGGCAAAGGGATATATTCTCAATTATTTCTCTCAATTTCAGGAGATGTTGCTTTCTTGTAGAGTTAAATCCTTTAAAGAGGCACTTGCTTGGGGTGTGGAGAAGAGAATGTGAGAAGCAGCATCTAGGCAAACAAAACCATTGACTTTCCCTCTAGTATTGTGTTCCCTATCCCATTATTGCAGGTAACTGGTTTGAACAGCCCTACTTCTGCAGACCAGTTTGAACTTGTTATGAAGTAAAAGCCCTATTTTTAGGACAGGGTTTGATTAGAGCCCAGAGAAAACAGCTGCAGCGTCACGCCTTCTTTGTGATATCAGTAGAGGATAAAGAAAGAGGAAGGGATGTTACAGATGCAACCTCTGTTTGAATCCAGATCCAAACTTAGTCAAACTTTGAGGATGTTCAAATGTGAGGGGCTTGGCCCACTACAGAGACAAGGACAAGCTATACAGGAGCTAAGTATTAGTTTCAAGTTGTACATTATTCTCCTCTCTCCCCCAAGTTATAGTATTCAGAACAAATATATTTGCTAAATAGGAGGAAAATGGCCATGCTATGAAACATGAATCTCATTTAAACATACATCTATATTTTCAAGTACAAGTTTGGAAATGAAGATTGTCTGTTATATTTGTTATATCTTAGAGGGATCTAAAAATACATTGACATTTCCGATAAAGGTACTGTGTGTTCACTAACCTCTTGACACTGGGAGTCAGTAAGTCTTGGCAGATATCCCCTTGCTTGCAAAGGGGTTCCCAGCAGCTGCTAGAAGCAAAAAGTGAACATATGGGAAGGAGCATGGTAAGGTACATTTGGGCACATGGCGAGGAAGAATGATTGAACTGGTTCCATTATAGACTAGACAAATTCACAACTGAAACATCTGCTGCAAAAATATATCAAGGAAATGGAAAGTAGCAGCAGAATCACTTGGAACTACGGGTTTCAGAGTAGCAGCCGTGTTAGTCTGTATTTGCAAAAAGAAAAGGCGTACCTGTGGCACCTTAGAGACTAACCAATTTATTTGAGCATAAGCTTTCGTGAGCTACAGCTCACTTCATCAGGGGTATTGACTTACCTATGGAGGGAGCTACCCTGATCTCCAAGCAGTTGTCTGTGACAAGCCTTGTGTGCTGGGACAAGGGGAAAGAGATCCCACCACTGCACCAGTTGTCACGGAGTCCCTGGGCGATGCTCTGGAACTGCTCCCCATGAAGCCAGTCAGGACTCTGGGGAAGCCTCCTTTCTGTGAGCAGCCTGTCTGCAGGACACAGCTCACACAACTTCCACCTTCCTGGGTCTGACCTCGGAGCATTCAGCATCCTCTGTCCCTCCTTAGGCAACCTGGTGACCCCAAGCTCCCCAGGGATAACCATATCGATGCCGAGCTTAGTGCGGACACCCAATCGGCACTGCCCACTGCAGCCTAGAACCCCTGAGCTCCAGCGATCCGCCGGCCTCAGCCTCCCCAGGAGCTGGGATCACAAGCTTATGCTCAAATAAATTGGTTAGTCTCTAAGGTGCCACAAGTACTCCTTTTCTTTTTGGAACTACAGAGACATTTGGAATTAAATTTAAAGCATTTCTGCTCATTTTAAAGTGCTCTAGACGTTCTGTTCGTTTTAAACATAAGGAAGTACTTCTTCACAGAACTCACAGTCAACCTATGGAGTTGCTGCTAGGGGATGTTGTGAAGGCCAAAAGTATAACTGGGTTCAAAAAAGAATGAGAGAAGTTCATGGAGGAAAGGTCCATCAATAACTACTACACGTTGGTCAGGGCTGCAACCCCATGCTCTCGGGTGTGACTAAACCTCTGACTGCCAGAAGCTGGGACTGGATGACTAGGGCGGATCACACGGTAATTGCCCTAGTAATTCCCACTGAAGCATCTGGCACTTGACACTGTCAGAGACAGGCTACTGGGCTAGATGGACCATTGGTTTGATCCATTATGGCCTTTCGTACTTATGTAATGTTCACAGGCATAGAAGCTCACACTAAGGCTACAATTTAACAATAATTACAGAACCATCATCTTTTCCACACTTGCAGCTTTTGGGAAAAAAAGCAAAAACAAAAAAAAAAAACTTATTTTGGGCTGAAACATTTTTTGTTTGGTCTCAGCCCAAGCAATGTTTTGGCTGAGTGGGAGGGGATGAAAGATTTGAGGAAAATCCAGTCAGCTGTTTCTGAGTCAGACAAAGAGCAGAAACACCCTTTTTCCATTTTAAAAAATAACTATGACTTACGTTTTGTGCACTGATAATTCAAAACCAACTGTTTAAAAAAAATCCTTTTTTAAAAAGGAACCCCAATATCTATCAGGATGTAGGTTTAAATGAGTAAATAAATAAATAAATGTGAAGGGAAAAGCTTCCCACAGTTTTGGTCAGTACAAAATGTATTTTATATATAGAAATTCAGCCAGGATTTTTTAATTTTTTTCCTGCTAAGCCTTATGTTGATACCTACCTACCTACCCACCCATCTCAATGCCAAATACAGAAATTCAACAGTGTAACCAATAAACAAATCTAGTAGGCCAGATCCTCAGCTGGGGTAAGTTCATAGAGCACTCTACTGAAGTTGAGGAAAGGTACGCACTAAGCAATTTTTAAAAAGTTATTGAACTCTTGACTGTTTCCAACCTCAGCAGTTGTATATTTAGATAAATGTAGCATCTTCCACACAAGAATGCTTTGGCCATGAATACCAAATGATCCATGCGCTATAGCGACCTTCACTTGGGAGTCTGTGCATAGACAGCTCCCAGCAATTCTTGATTAAGCTCTTGACTGGTTCTCACAATCAAATAGATAAATGTGTGTCTTAAATATTTAACAATGCTGAAAAATATGTCTGCAGCTGCTGAGCTCCAGATACTTACTATGTCCTTAGTAAGCCCTATATTAGCACATATTTTGCATTCCACATGGTGGCTAGACACTAACGGTAACTGTAAAAACACTAGTACACTCAGTGCACCCACACGGCTGAAAAATTGTGAAACAGTTCAAGTCAGCTCTGCACATTTGTCACTCCAACACTCAAGAAGACTCCATTCGTGTGTATGCTACTTAATCAGACATGCAATTTTTCCAAGCCTCTTGCGTAACGGCTTATACCTGGTTTGCCAATTAGTATTGTATGCAGTAGGGTAGAAAAAAATCCAACCACTTGAAAATGCTGAACTTAATCCAAAAGATGCATCAGAAGCTGCCACAGCACAGACTGCCATTTTTCTGATGGGCTTGTTTGAATTCACCACTCAAGATCTGTTAGGTTAAGAAGTTTTGTTCTTTAGGCAGAGCCATCAGCTGGAGAACAAATCAGTCAGACCAAATTCATGTCAAACTGCTTTATTACATCTTAAATAACAGTACATTTTAATATAGTATCTATCTTGCATCCAGCTTCCTTGAAGTACACTGACTTTAAAATTAAATACAAAAAGGTGAAGAAGAGGGATACAGGGTGCGGAGAAAGCTCTACAGAGTAGTTTCATGAAAGAGAGAGGGAATTCATCTTTTTTATGCCAAATCCAGGCCTAACGCACAATTACAGCACATTTTTGTACAGAATGTTGCAGAAAAACAGAATGGTGAAAGCCACTACTGCTGCTAGGGAGGCGCATTTCTGGATACAGTGAAGATAGGAGAATTTAAGAGAACAATCTGCTGTCCAAACGCTGCTGCTTTTAACATTTTATTTGAAAAGAAAGCCAGGAAAACCTGTTCATTACAAAAATGATTCTAATCGGATGCAAAGAACTCACTTTACAAGAGGAACTGGCTGTGAAGAATTAATTTATAAAGAAGATGGTCTGGGTTCCCCCACCCCCACCCTCACCCCAGAATCTTTGACAGCGATCGTTTGAACAGGCTGTTTCTTTAAAAAAAAAAAGTGACTTCTCACGCTACTCCAAAACGTGCATAGCTTTGTACTTGAAGTCTTCATAGATTTATGCACAGAGTAGCAACAATAAATGAATACAGCGGCAATGGTTACAGTTTTTAAACAGGTTATTTCTTTAAAGAAAAAAAACATCTAAGGACTTAGTCCAATATGCACTTTTTAGCATTTCTACAGCATGCGATTCTAAGAGTAAACCCACCCAATATGGCAAACGATCAAAAAAAAATTTTTGTTTAACTTAGAAAGTTTAAGATCATTATTTTCAAAACATTGATTTGTACATCATTTCATACACAAAGAATTGACTTAATACCCAAGCGCAGGACAGGTCTCTTTTGAAAAACAGAGATTCCTGGTTGTTGAGACTACGGGGTAGTGTTAGGGTATATAAACTGCCCTTGCAAGTGGGGACAAAGTTTTTTTTTGTTGTTGTTTTTTAAATCAGTGGGTTTGGGAGTGGGTGGGTAGGAATTGAGGATTTGCATTTGTTACCCATAAAAGGTGAAAGGTTCTTTAAACAAGCATTCAATACCATGTACAGCATGTGCTTGGTTACCTTACTTCTTAACATTATTCTATAGATGCCATGTTTTGTGCAACAATTATTTGTGATACTAGACAGAAATAAAAAAAAGTAGGGACTAAATTTACAGCATTAACAACCCCAGACGCTCTGGGCTAGGACTCCCTTGTTTTACTCATTTATTGACCATAAAGAAATGTATTTAAAAAGGAAATGTGGAAAAAAAAAATGAAATCCTTCTACAAACGTGACTTGAAAATTTGAAACCGTGTGAGATAAAACAAAGTTCTCAACTTTAACTTGAAAACTACAGTGAAGTTAAGTTTGTTTCACAATTATGCTCAAGTTTACTTTCTGGTCATGCTTTTATGATAGTGTTTCTTTTTTAAATTCTCAAGACAAAAAATGGTCCCAAACGGAATGCACAATTTCATTTGCTTACAACTGCAGAAATTCTTCTTTGAAAAGTAATTGTGCTCTTCATTTCAGCAATAGGAGACGGTAAAAGATCTTGCCCTTTGAAGTTTTGAGGAGAATGGGGGGTCCAAGTTAGTATGGTTGGATTGGATATGCTATCATTTTAGTTTTCAACCGTTGGAAATGTCTTCCAGTCACGGTGGAGTCCGTTGCTTGTCTGACACACAAAAAGTTTTGTTAAAACTTACGTTCGGACACTAACATTAAGTTCTAAGCTGGATGAACTAACTTCTGTGTCTGGTAAAACCGTTTATTCTCCCACACCCTCTACTCTATCTTCCCACATCAACATTTACATCCATTATTTTTATTTCACCGTTTTCAAAAGATTTAATAATATTTACCAGCCCAGATGTGAAAGCCATTAACCCACCCTGTACCATGATGATAATGAAAAAAGTCAATGATACCTATAAAAAAAATTACTTCCCCTTGGCAAGTAGAATTTTACAAGGCAGAGTTAAACTGCAAGAAGTTAATCTTATTTCTAGTGTTTTAAATTAGTTACTTTTCTAAACCAAACTGTGAGCTTGTAGCATAAAAGCAGTTGCAATGTACATTTGAAATGAGAAAAAATGAGATTATAAACAAGATAATTAAGGATGTTCTTCCCTACCCTCCCAAATACCTACAGACTTCAGTTCCAGATCTTGAGGAAGCTATCCCATGACCCTGTTGCTACTGCCATACCATCGTCAGTCACACCTAAGCAACTGACACGGTTATCGTGGCCAGCAAGGACACCTAGAAATTAAACAAAATACACACGCATATTACAGAATCTTGATGAATACATACTTCATTTCAAGCAACTCAATGATAAGGGCTTGTGTGTTTGTATTGGATACTCTAGTGATCAGAAGAATGGAACATTAACTTGGTTTAATATTTACACAAATCTGATTTTGATAGTTTTCTTTACCCCAAACTTTTGGCAGTATTCACTTGGAAATGATTGTAGTAGCCAGTGAGGGACTCCCAAATGAAGAATATGACAACATGAAGTGTTTCGGAGTAGCAGCCGTGTTAGTCTGTATTCGCAAAAAGAAAAGGAGTACTTGTGGCACCTTAGAGACTAACCAATTTATTTGAGCATAAGCTTTCGTGAGCTACAGCTCACTTCATCAGATGCATACTTTCCACAGTATGCATCTGATGAAGTGAGCTGTAGCTCACGAAAGCTTATGCTCAAATAAATTGGTTAGTCTCTAAGGTGCCACAAGTACTCCTTTTCTTTTAACATGAAGTGTGTTAGCCACAAGATTTTCACTTGATAGGAATAACCTTCAATAATCACGTCAATTACAAAGTCATCACCAGTTTCTCAAAATACTTCTGACAGCACACCCCAAGCAGTTTTGAATTCTATATTTATTAGTCCATTGCTGCTAAATTCAATTACTTCCCCTCCTACAGTGTTATAAGTGTTATTTGTCTTGTAAAAAACCCTAGACTATAAAAAATGCAGAGTTAGGCTGGAGCATCTTAAACACACTTAATCTTGCATGAGCCCTAGCCCTCCTTTTGGGATTACAAGCACATGTATTACGAAAAGGCAAACAAAGACCGGCCACCTACCTTCATTAGATTTGCTACTATGGAAGATGCTTCCATTCAACCAATATGTTATTTTGAAAAATTGCATTGAGAGGGACTGAAAGAGACACTTACACTTAAAAAAAAAAAAAAAAGTAAGGGAGCTGTAGAACTACAGCTCTAGTTCTAATACTGTAGAAGTATTAGAGAGTCTCCCATTTGAATCAGTGGGCTTCTTAATACAATGAATTCTGCATTTCTGGAGCAGCAGACACATGAAAAATGTACAAGTGGTTAATAGCATCTTTAAAAATTCATAGTGCCATATAGGAAGCCTGCTGTCACTGCTGATGAAATGGCTCGGAACTCTTCTAGGGCACATTGTAGAAGTAGTGTGATACACTAGAAGTGTGTAAAACTGAGATTATAGTTGTGAGATTTAATGTAGCAAGACCCCAAGCAAAGTACCCGAGGAAGCTTGAGCAGTTAATTTGTGACCGATGAGTCAATGCATGTTAGGATTCTAACAACTGATTGCACACATCTGCAGACTGTCCTCCCTTCCTCCTTATTAAGTACTGTTCTCCTTCGGACTCTAACCACACTGGTGATTCCTTTTCCCATTCAACATCCCTCTACGGTGAGATTTATGCAGGGAACCAATAGGATTTCTGGGAGAGTGGGAGACAGATCAGTTGTGGTGGTGCATCTATTTTCACCCTTCCACTTTCCCTGCAGGAAGGACATGCAAAAGTCACTGCCTCTTATCACCCAAAAAAACAACCCCAACAAACCAGGAAACTGCAGAATCCAGGACTCCCAAGATAAACACTACCCTAATGAAACAGATTTGTACTGAGGCATGGTAATTTATTCTATAGGGACTGAAAAGTAGTTTTTCCTACTTAAAAGTCAACCAAAAGTACAACCTAGTACATTAGTAAACAGGCACTGAAGACAAATCACACTGCATTAGTATAGTATAAAATCAAAGCAGGAAATGGAACTAGCATTAGTCATTTCAACAGGCCAGCGAACTCATCGCTTCCTCTTAATCAGCTTCAAAGAAAAGAATGGTCATCAGGGACCAAATATAGTTTTCCCCAATAGAAAAACTATGAAGTGTAGTAATATGTCACTAAGAGTTCCCTAATCTGCTTGGATCACCCACCTAATAGTTTATCACAAGAAATTACTGGAGTGTTGGGAGCAACACTACCATGGAGATACAATAATTTACAAACTGAAATCCTGCAGATAATCCAAAAGCAACAAGTAACACCTTGTATTCATCTGTTCAACGCATTCTCTGGTGGAACAGCAAGTTACTTTATTTCTACAGCACTTGATTTAAAGCCAGTAGTAAGGAAGATAACACATTTATGAAAGGAAAATTCTCTGCCTATCAATATATGCTATTTCAGACTACCAATTTGTTTTCATTTCCATGTCTCTTTTTGGCCTCAAGTATCAACTGTAAATCAAGATTTCAACTGTAAATAACCACTGTGGGGAAACCTTGAATAAGGTGCATTTGGACAGCATAACCATGTTACACTTATTTGAAAAATACGTTCCTGGTACAATTAAAATCATAAACAGCACTGAAAAGTGAAGTAACCCGCTCTACACATCAGATGAACTTTGAGCTACTACTGTGCCAATTTCTGCACTGCACTGATAGAAGGTACATTTGTTGGGAGAGGCAGGGGAAGAAGCAAGCCATGGGAGCACTGCTGTTAGACTACAATGAAGGTACTAACACCACACAGAACGTCTCTGTTGCTGGTGTCTTCTCTATTCTGAGCACAGTCTCCCCCTCAGCCGTGATCAGGTTTGTACCAATTTTTGTTTATTACCTTTCTCCAGATGCTAAACAGAACCTAGCTTTTTGTTCTTGTGCTCGTTCCAAGAATTAGAAATACTTTCTCCATTAATCTATCTAGTTCCTCCTCTGTACATTCTATAATCATAAGCAGAAACTTTGTGGTCATTTATGATAATTTGTACTTTCCCTGTTCTAATATCTAATTAGTTTATATTTTAGGAACTGATGGCATCTATACTAGCTGGGTTGGTAAATTCAATACCCATCTCCTCCCATTCATTATACCCCTAAATAAAGTTACATAACCTCTTTTTCCTTTTCTCTTATTATGCATTTTATAAATACTGCCACAAACGCACATTATCCAGCTATGCCTTAAAGATAAGGTGTCATGTTAGCGAAATAGGTACTGATACCCTTACTGAGATAAGGTAACAATAGCATAAGATCCTCCCTGACCTTTGACAGTTTCTTCTTCCAAAACATGCAAAGTCACATTTCATATTAAATACACAAATAAGGCAGCTTTAGAAAATGTGGAAGATGAGGTAATAAAGGGCGAGTTTTTAAGAAGTACTATCCAGAACTGTTTGCTATGTGAAGAATTTTGAGGTAATAAATCAGTGGCTACAAATCTCTGCTTGACATTTACACTACCTAAAAATCAGTGCAAATTCTCAGAGGAATACTAAACAGCTTCAAGCACTGCAGTACAGCATAGCAGCCAACTCTTAACCTGAATTGTTTCAGTGAATTACTAATGACAATTATCTTCATATAACTATTACACAGTTATAGACCCTCCATACATGAAGTGATTAATAGTAGGTGTTTCATAAAGTGTCAAATACGTTTAAACAGTCCAAGTGTAAAATAAGCTCTTTGAAGGTAAAAATATATTTAATTTTCCCAGATGTCATTCTTTTACTGAGTTCTGTTTGCAGAGGGTAACTTTCTGTTCTCAGAAACCCCATATTCTTCACTAACATTTACAAATCTACCAGCATGTTGACAACACAAGTAAAATACCTTCACCTGGGGTTATCTCACAGCAGACCACATTATTGAGTTAATTACAGTAGGCTAACAGCACTGTGCTAATGTTTGATAAAGCACTGTCAATAGGTCACCCCTTTAGGTGCAGCTGATAGTATTTAAAACCCAACACACAAACTATTTACCTGCTCTATCAGCTTTCAGTGTGTCCCAGACGTTGCAATTAAAGTCATCATAACCAGCTAAGAGGAGACGTCCGCTTTTGGAGAATGCTACAGAAGTGATGCCACAGATGATGTTGTCATGTGAATAAACCATAAGCTCCTGGTCAGCACGAAGATCAAAGAGCCTGCATGTGGCATCATCGGAGCCTGTGGCAAATGCATTGCCATTTGGGAAGAACTTTAAAACAAAACAAAGATATTATAGAATAAGATACTTTGTGTTTTGCAGCTTTTGGGAACAGGGCTTTTTCCATTTGGCCAGCTACTATGAAATCTTAGATAATGATCTAGCATGTTTTGCACTTTCATTTGGTACCGTAGAACACTCATGCAGGCCAGTCGTCTTATGCCCAGAATTGGGAGCTAGGAACTCAAGATCTACTCCTGGCTTGGTTTGACTTTCTTTGTGTTCTTTGCCACATCCCTTTGCCTGCATGTTTCCCTATCTGTAAAATGGAGCTAAAAGTACATTATCTCCATCACAGAGGCACTAATGTTTTTAAAGCCTTCTGAAGATGAAATAATAAGTATTACTATCAACAAAACTTTAGTAACATACTATTTAAGCACCTAACAAATTGCCATGTACTGCAATAAACTTTATGCAATACAATGAATTGAATGTAGTTTTGTCAAATGTGGAAAACACTGTGTTTTGGAAAAACTATGCTGTAATACTACAGGATCCACTATGTGTTAAATTCTAACAGCTGACTGCAGAGTATACATCATGAATTTAAATCCCATTCCCCCAATTCAGAGTTCATACGCACACAGATGGCATTGATGTCTGACTCGTGGCCAGTGAATGTTTGCCGACACATTCCTTCTCTAACATCCCACAGTTTGGCAGAGGCATCACAGGCACCAGAAACAAAACACCTGGCATCAGGAGCCAGGGACAAACTCATGACATCCCCGGTGTGTCCAGTAAAGGTGGTCGTCTGCTGGCCAGTTTCAATATCCCAAAGGGCGCTTGACAAAAGGGGGGAGGGCAGAGGGAGAGATAAAATGACAAAAATTAGAACCATCAAATAAAACTGATTTTTTAAAGTAAGTCTCGCAGTACATTACCAGAAGTTCAGACAGTGTCAGACAGGGCTGGTTAGCCTGGACTTGGCTGGTTTGTCACTTGTTTTCTCTGGTTTAATTTTTGTATTTAAAATTAAAAGGGGGAAATTAATCCCAAAGTATGTGGGAAGAAGATGCTCTCCTTTGAGAGATTTCAGTATATCATACACAAACTCTCAGTCTTTGCCTTAAAAAGGCACCAGTACTTTCAAATGGAGCCACATATTATTTCTGGTTACAGAGGATCTGCTTCTTGGCTGGGTTACCAGCAATATAGACAGCATAGTGACTAATGTTCACCATTGTTGATACATGGAGTTCTGTAACATGGCAGTGCTCTAACACTAGCATAGAGCTGCTTTAGAGTAGCACCCACTACTGCTGCTATAGTTAAGGTTGAGTCAGTGTTTCCATTTTTGAGGCTTTTTGAGGGTGTATAATTCAGCCAGAATAATTCACTGTTGCCTCATGGCTGTCAGTGCCCCCACTTTTCCATTGACAGTAAGATCACCACAGTGACAATCACATAGTATAAAAAGGGGATGAAATACTGACTGCATCACCCACAAAAGCAGCAGACTTTCCAGAGATGTTTAGAAGAAAGCATTTAACTTGTCTGTTCTCTTTCCCAGTAAGTGAGCATAATGTAGAATTCTGCTTTGGCTTAGAACCAGTGCAGAAGCCAGTTTTCTTGTTTTCAGGTTCCCTGGTTATGTAAACCATATGTTCAGTAATTAATTCTGTATCAGCCTTCAGTAGTCAGTTCCAACTAGGATATGAAATTTTGCTTAGTGTTCCAGCCCAAATCCATTTGCAGCTAGAAAACATCATGCCCTTCATGTCAGTCTCCTCTTTAGTTCCCCATTCTAGGGGAGTGCAGGTTTAGAGGAAGGAGACTACTGGCTTCCTCCTTCCATAAATGAAGAAAACCATCAGCACAAAAGCAGAAGTTTTTTCTTAATAGAACCAGCTTTCATTATGAACCATGTGTGTTTCAGAAATACATATGCAGAAAGAAGAACAAGACAAAAAGGAATCCCTTGCCAGTAGCGAGGCCATAAGAAAAGGCCAGAATTTGTGTACTCAACACCCTACCTGGACTTAGAAAAATTATTACATGCAACAGTCAAAACCTGCTAAAGCTATATAATCAAGTACAAAGAGCATCACTTTAGCAATTTTTGGTGTATTTAAAAAGGTTTCCATTCCATTTTGAAAAATCATGTTAATATTAAAGAAATTCATGTACAATCAACATCCATCTTAAGCAGCCACTCAAGAAGGCCGTTTAATAGGAGGGTCCTTACGGGACCAACATAACAGTAGTGAATGTCTTAGGAAGACTTCAAAATAATTGCCGTAAGGACTGCTGCCTAGTGGATGTCCTACTATTTTCTCTTTAAGATTTATTTATTCAGTGAGTGAATTTTTTTGTTTACATTGAATTTTTTGATAAAATGAGTATTTATTGGTTAAGCAGTTGTTTAAACAGGCCACACTACAAGCAGCACAGAAATGCTGTGCAAGTCCAGAAATAGAGCTAACTTTGGGGTTACCTTTCCAGTTCTGATGGATTAAAATTAAATCCATTTTAAGTAACAATTCAGTGAAAACAGAACACAGACTGAATCTGTTGAACATCTTGAGTCTTGTTAAGCCTTATTCTATAGATCTGTTACCTAAAGGGGCTTTTTCTTTTGTTGGTTATGGCAGAAGAGCTAAAACTACATAAAAAGTACAGCCCACAAAAACGAGATTTCTTTGCTAGTGAGACTAGAGCATAACAACCTCGAGAAGCAAATGCACTACAGACAACTCCTATAGGAGAAAGCATCTATAAGTGTTTTAGCTGATCTCTGAAAATGGACTATGGAGTATAGAAATTACAACAGAACATTATGTTTATATTAAGCCAGTGGACCACAGAATAGAACATTTTTCAAAGACTGATTATTTTTTAGTTTTGTAATTAACGTTTTGTTAAACGTTCAGTGATATTCCTTTAAAATTCACTTCTGCTAACTTTTTGAGAAGATTTTCTGAAAGCTATTCATAATCTTACAGATTTAAATAAAAATAATTTTACCAATGTGATTCAATATTTAATATTTATTTTCTATAATAGTACTACAGAGCTTAATGGAAAGAAGTCATTAATTCACTCAGCCTATCCTTCCCCTGACAACCAATTGTCTATGGATCCATAGTCCATCTTATCACCAATAAGAACATATATGATGGACTTCAAAATTTGAAACAACGAATCAGTAACAGAGTGCAAAAGAGAAGTGCAAAATGTTGGGGGGGTTTAAAATGGCACTGGCATAAAATAACTGTAAAACATGCACTAATTGTGACTCTTTACTGCCTGTATACATCAAGTTCACTCCCCAATAATTTGATAATGGATATTTAAAAAGTACACAAGACTCAACTAAACAGACATTACCATTCTGTGGGAGCTATTTCTTCTGATCAGACACTGGTCCATAACTAACCATTGGTACAGGAGACTTGTTTGAAGCTATAACTCCAAAATGTATCAAAATCCATATTGTCAAAACTTTAATTCTTTCCTCAGTGAGCCATAATTGCTCTGAATGAGCTCTTATAGACCACATGTAAAGAGTTTTACATTTTAAAAATATTGCATTCTTTTTATCAGAGATGTTAATAAAAAACATCAACGATGAAAATTACTTAGCACATAGGTCTGTCAGTACCTAAATGGTAAGAAAAACCTATGGTCTGACAAATGAAAAGGAAAAAATTCGAAGTCTGGGTCTTCACACACCCAATGCATTTTATTTAAAAAGGGGGTATTCAAAAGCATAGTTTGTAGAGCTTAACAGCAGTATTTCCATTTGCAATTTCCTCTAAATTGCAAGCCATTAGAGGTTTTTATCCAGGCTGTCCTATGAGATTTCTACACCAAAGACTGCTTACATAGGATTCATACAGCACTAACACTATTGCTATTACTAAGTGTTATGACAAGTTCCCCCATAATATATTATCTATATTTTTGAATATGCAGCCATTAGTACAAATGTTACAGTTCGTAACACTGCTTACCAAGTGGTGTCTCCAGAGCTGGTAACAATTTGATTATCATCCAGGAAACGGCAGCATGACAAGTAACCTGCAAAAAGTAACACATGGCTGAACAAAGCCGCAAATTCCTGTCTACTTTTCAGATTGAGTTGGTCACGTAGCGAAGCATCTCCTGCACATACTGGGCAATGTCTACGCTGCAGTCAGAGATGTGACTGCAGCACATGTAGACATAACTCAGATAGCTTTGATCTAGCAAGATAAAATAGCACTGAAACTGCAGCAGCCTAGGATAGCTGTCCAAGACCATAACCTGGGCCCCAGGTGGGCTTGTATATAGCCTTTACCACTGTGGCTTCATTGACACTGGTACACAGCTAACTAGAATATGTCTACATGTGCTGCAGTCACACCTCTGACTGCAGTGTAGATACACTCAGACAGGAAACCATCAAGAATAGTCAGAAATTCCACAAGTAGTACTGATCACAGTAATTGGTTAAGGACCACTTTAATTTATAGACTGAATCTTACAGCAATCTGATGTTTGCTGATCTGCTTATCCAAGCAAAGAGTAAAACACTAGAAAACACAAAAAGTCCATTTGGTTGTTAAAGAAAAAAGAAGAGACCTAAACGAACAGATGATAGTCTTTCACATAAGACTAGGATTGAAAATTCTCATAGGTCTTACTTGAGACAACCTGGGCTGTGAGCATCATAAGGATTCACATTCCAAGCAGAAGAGAGTGTGAGAAGAGATGTATCTTGCTTCATAAGTACGAAGACAACAAGAAGAGAGGAAACTGGTGGCCTTATACACAAGGGCAACAAACCCTCATGACATTACTTGGATCAATCTAACTCTCCTCTAGGGGGAAGCTGCTCTCTTGGGGACCAGCTGTGACTAGAAGAGCCCCAGCAGAAAGAGGGAGAGCACTCCCTGAGGAATGCAGGGGGGCCCCTCCTCCCAAGGCTTTACCCATTCATTAGCCAGCCAGAGGAGGAAGGGAGCTGACTCATCCCTTTCTCTCCCTTTTCATTAATTTAAATCCTAGCTCAAACTACGGGGAGCCTCTTTTTGCTTTATTTCAGGAAACTCCCCACTCCTTCCCCATGACTGTAGTTTTAAAAAAAACCGGTTACTCATCTTCTCGTAACTGTTGTTCTTCAAGATGTGTAGCTCATGTCCATTCCAATTAGGTGGATGCACAGTCGTCGGGAGCTTCTTCCCCTAGCACCACCCGTCTGATCAGGTGTGGACCCCCTGGAGTGGCGCCTTCATGGCAGTGAAAATAGGTTCCTGCCGACCCGCCGCCTCTTCAGTTCCTTCTTGCTGGCTACTCCGACAGAGTGGAAGGCGGGCGAGTCTTAGAATGGACATGAGCAACAAATCTTGAAAAACAAGAGTTACGAGAAGGTAAGTAACTGTTTTTTCCTCTTCAAGTGCTTGCTCATATCCATTCCAATTAGATGACTCTCAAGCCCTAACTAGGAGATGGAGTTGGAATTCATTGAATTGCTGATTGAAGCACCACTCTGCCAAATGCTGCATCGTCCCTGGCGTGCTGGGTAATAGCATAAAGTGTGAACTGAGGACCACATCGCCGCACTGCAGATCTCCTGGATGGGGACCTGGGCCAGGAATGCTGCTAAGGAGGCCTGTGCTATTGTGGAACGTGCCATTAGTGCTGGGACTGGAACCTTTGCCAGCTCGTAGCATGCCCCAATACAGGACATGATTCATGATGAAATTCTCTGTGACAAGACTGGTAGGCCTTCCATTCTATCCGCAACCGCCACGAACAACTGGATCGACTTACGGAATGGTCTTGTACATTCAGTGTAAATGGTCTTGAACGTCCAAGGAGGGCAGCCTTTTGTTCTCTACTTTCTGCGTGAGGCTTAGGGATGCAAGTTTGGGAGAAAAGCTGGATGACGCCTAAGCTGTACCTTGTCTTTATAAAAATAATGGTATAAGGGGGATGGGAAGTTAGGGCTTTAAGCTCCAAGAGTCTCCTTGCTGATATAATAGTGACTAGGAAGGCCACCTTCCATGAAAGGTAGAGCAATGAACAAGTCACCAGGGGTTCAAACGGTGCCTCTAAGCTCCTGAGGAACCTCCTCCACAGCTCCCGCATCGAGGAGTGTTTGGACCTCCTACGTGAGAAAATGCTCATGAGAAGGGTCCTTGAAGAGGGACAGGGAAGGGGGTAGCAGGGAGGGGAGGAGCAGAATTAGAGAGAATATCCCATTTCTACCGTGCGAAGGACTTAGTGGTATGAAGTTATCTGGGACCAAGAACAGTAAAAGTGGGACAGACGGTTCAGAAAACAGGGGGAAGGATCCAGTGAGTAGACTAGTGCATTGCCCTTGGGCACACCTTCAAAAGGCTTGCTAAGAGCCTGATAACTGCCTTGATGAGCTCTGGCCTTGGCTGGGCTTATGCCTACCATTCCTACCCCGCTTCCTTGAGAAGTCCTGCCTGGGCTGGGGAGGACAGAAGCGCTGCAGGGGCTGAGGTCTGAAATGATTTCGCTGGGTAGCTGGGGTATGTAGCCCCAGTGATTTCTATGCAGCCAACGAATCCTTTAGGCTGTGAAGCCTGGAGTCTGTCTGCTCTGCAAAAAGGCCCATGCCTGCAAAAGGCAGGTCCTGAATTGTTTGTTGTACTGTCTGACCTGGCCGCACTCAGTGTGGGTGAGTGCCCCCGTCCATCTTCTTGTGCTGCTTATGTGGCACCAGAGAGTGCGAGCGGTGCTGTACTGCCTCCTCAGGCTTCGGTGCTAGGGAGCACTGGTGCCAAGGGTCTCTATAGCCAGGAATCCTTCCTTGGCCCCGTTTCACGTACAGAGGCCGGAGCGCTCTGCATGGAGGTGCTCAGTGCCGGATCCTGACAGCTGGAGCTGGCTGGTGATGGAGGGCCGATTCCAACAGGATCTGTTTCAGCCTGAAGTTCTGTTCCTTTTTAGTCCTTGGGCGGAACTCTTTACAAATCTTGCACCACTCTGTTTGGTGCGCCTCCCCCAGATACTTGAGACAAGATTCGTGGAAGTCGCCCATTGGCGTGGGCTCGTGGCAGGTTCCACAGGGTTTAAACCCTTGGGACCAAGGCATGCCCCACACCCCAAAAGGGGAGAGGGAGAAACCCCCAGCTCCTAGTTAAGAAACTATCTTAAACTAGGTTTCAGAGTAACAGCCGTGTTAGTCTGTATTCGCAAAAAGAAAAGGAGTACTTGTGGCACCTTAGAGACTAACCAATTTATTTGAGCATGAGCTTTTCATGCTCAAATAAATTGGTTAGTCTCTAAGGTGCCACAAGTACTCCTTTTCTTTTTATCTTAAACTAGAAACTATTTACAGAAAACTGAACTACAAGGACTAGGGGAAGCACTTGCAAAGGCAAGCGATGGCAGTTCTAACAACTGTCACTGGTGGTAAAAAGGAACTGAAGAGGCAGCGGGTTGGCAGGAACCTGTATTACCACCATGAAGGCGCCACTCCAGGGGGCTCCACAGCCGACCTGATGGGTGCTGCTGGAAGGATTTTCCCCTGACGACTGTGCACGCGGCACGCACACACCTAATTGGAATTGACATGAGCAAGCATTCAAAGAACTGTTTTTGCAGATGCTGCAGGTCTTACTGATCACTTGCTTTGGGGTGAGGAAGAAATTTTTTCTTTGTGTTGTTGCCAAATTAGCATAGGCCTAGTGGGTTTTTTCACCTTCCTCTGAGCATACTCCATGCATGGTCAGGTTAAACAAGGAAGAGGATTTAGTAATTCATGGTAGTACTTGGTAGTAGTAGGGATGTTAGTTTGTTACAACTTTCAGCCAGTTTCCAGTGCAGTTAGAAGGCTAAAAGGAATGGCTCCCAGAAGTGAAAGACCTGGGATTTTGCTGAGTGGCCTTGTGCTCATGGGATAGGGGGAGACCTAAGTAAGGTCCCCACCTTTTAGTCCGATCTGTACCCTTCACTGGGGGTGGTCAGATTCAGAAGAGCAAGCTGAGTCCTAGGGGTAGGTCAAGGAAAGTCTACCCTGAGTTCTGGGTTATATGGGAGGAGCCCTGTAACCTCTGCACTGGAACCATTTAAAATACAGGTGACTAGGAGGGTAGTGCCCCTCCTCTCCATTAAGTACAATAGAGTTGCACCCTGTTGCTTAAAATCCATCCGTGTCCGTCCTCATTCACTGCCAAGTCCAGATCCAGATGTCACCCCCAATTACAGCTTTATTGCAGCAGTCCTGCTTAACCCTGCACTAGAAGAGCAGTTAATTAAAACTGACTCTCTAAGATTTCACACTAACAAATGAAACCAATCACCTCTTTTGATGCATCCTTTCTAGGCATCTACAATATAGTATAGTCTTTCACCCTCTGTAGAGGCCATATTCACCCTGCCATGAACCCACATACTGCATTTTAGTGATCTTACTAACTTACAGGGCCCATCTCTAAAAGAGGCCACTGAACAGCTAAGATATACTGTAAAGATATTCTTGGCTTTTTATTGCTCAAATCTTTTTTTTTAGGATTTTGACATGCACATAGGCTGCATCATGGATACCCAACAAAAATGCATATGACAGCTAGTTCCATTTTTCTTTACAACAGATATTAAAGAAAAGTACATTTTATGGATCATGGTGTGCTTGGTTATCGCAACTACTCAATATCTGTTTTAGTGGTCAGTCAACATCTCTCTATTTCAGACAGAGTACACAATTCCAGTGAACCAGGTAGCTAATCCATGCTTTGAAAGAAATGCAAGAGATAAAAAGAAGTTAAGTGCCATCTACAATATAGTTTAACACATTTTAGTTATTCTTTTCAACAAACAGAAGCTTTGGAAGGTTTGCCTGATTATAACGATACATGTATGAATAACCTTGGTTTCCTTCAATGAACAGTTTTCAGAGGGTTCCCTTTACATATATAGGCAGAGGCTTGATCAGGCAGAAAACCAGCAAGAGACACAGCTCGCCTGATGTTTCCTCTTAGAGCTGTTAAAGGTTTTTCCGGAGCCATGCTGGCAGCCTCTGGACTAAGAGGACTCTGTTTTGCTGCATCTTGGGATTTTGTTCTTTACAGAAACAAAGGCAGCATAAAGATGACACACAGTTTCAGGGTTCCAACCTTGACAGATATGACTTATTACAAGCTGATTCCCTCCCTCAGGTTGCTGGGTGTATTATTACTGAATCTGCAAGTGAACAAAGGCTTGCTGATGTAACACTGAGTATGTCACATACTATGATTATAAGCACATAGCTACTGAAGTGACTGGCACTATGTAATATCTAAGATAAACAGAGTCCTGTTACGTGCAGTCCAGAATCAGCACAGGCACTCTTTGAACCAAAGTTCCAGCCCAGACCTCAACAAGGAAGATATCAAGCCAATTTACATCCTATTTCTGAGTGGCTACTTCTTCCCATTAAAATCTTTCAGCTTCCTTTCCTTTTCCTCAACCACACATTTCTTCAGCAGGTAGAAGTCACTCTAATGAATTACCATTTCAACTTCTGCTGTGATATGGGATGTTACAATGGTCTTGGACTGTAGAGGGGGAAGAGAAAAATCCTGAGCTCATCTCCTCCGCTTTTAGCTGCCTTGGTGGATCTTCTTATTTCAAGGAAAATGGAGCCCTTATATGGGTCCCTTTGTTCTCACAATCATAGCTCATTATCCAGTTTAACTTCTTTTTATTTCTAGTTATCACAGTCATTAGTTACTCTGATGAAAAAGAGTGGGCCAGATTCTGTGCTGCACCTCTGAAGAGAGAGAACCCCAGGAGGGCCAAATGTAGCCCTGTAGTCTCCAGGATTCTGGCATGGCCCTGATGTAGGTTAGAGAAACCCCAGAAGAAGCTGTAGTGCAGAGTACTCCGACCACTTTCCCTCCCTTCTGTCCACTTCTACCTCCAGCACAGGGCAGCAGTGTAGGACAATCTACACCAACGTAATGCTGAGGGGCAATTCCCAAGCATCCAGTTAAACGAGCTCTGTGCCCTCCTCCTGGAGGCGGAGCCACTTTAAAGGAGCCACTGTGGATCCTAGAACACTGGGCACTACAGTCCTAGTTTTTAGAGATTAAAAGGATTTTTTTAAGGCTTTCAGATATTTCTATGGCCAGCCAAACATCTCTACAGACTTCCAAGAGCAGTAAGATACAAGTCATTCTGAGGTTTAAATCTGAAGTTCAGGTCAGAGGTTCTTAGATGTCAGTACCCTGAGCAGCCAAGTAATTAATTTTGGGGACTCCAAAGGAATTATCCAGTATCAATGACTGAACATGTGGGGACAACAGGGTGGAATGTGGGTAAGTACCTGCAAAAAAAAAGGAAGACCTTGAAAAACAGACCATGGTTTACACTGAAACTCAAAGAACATTACTTCTGCCTTCCAGAACAACGAAGGTAATTTAGAGACCAAGACTGGAAACAATGGGCTTGATTTTCAGGAGGTGCTCGGCCCCCACAGCTCCAGGTGAAGGCAACGAGTTAAAAGGGCAGCATCTCTGAAAAATCAGACCTCAAATCTTTGGGACCTAATGAAAACCCAGCAAGCTTGTCTAGTTCACAGAAATAAAAATTGGCACCAGCAGCCAGTCTGAGATATCTGATATCTGCAATCAGATAAATAAATAAATAAATAAAACAAATGCATGACCAATTAGGTTTCTCTCTCCAATTTGAGTTTGTAAATTGTAGTAATGTAATGTTGTAAATGTAGTGTCCTTTCGATATCAGGAAAGAGCTTGGATACAAAAAACAAAACAAAAAAAAAAACCCCAAGCTTTAAGCAGATATGCTATACTGTAGCAGTTTTACTTTCCATAAAGAAAAAAAGAGTTGCAAAATGAAATAATTCCCTTTTGTAATCACTAAATCTTCCCCTTCATGCCTTCCAAAGACTAAATATTTTGACCAAACTACATTAAGCTTCCTAGGATATGGTTTTACAATAAGAGCCCTCTCTAATAAATCAGCACCAACAATGAGGTAAATAAAGAATAATTTAAGACTGTGGACAAAGTGTAAGAGGTTGGGACTCATGTATTTAAGAAAAAAATTTTGTCCCATTTTCTGCCACAATATTTATTACATATAACAAGAATTTGATTATTTTCAATTTGGGCAATGCTGCACTTGGCAACATGTTTTCTGTAAGGGATCATTGTCTCTATTTGGGGACGTGAGCAATAAAGATTTATGAAGCTGTTAGAAAGATTGGTGAAGCCATTATATTCATTATTTAAATGTTTAAAGTGTTGCAAAAGTTGTGAGCAACAAAGAACAATTTTTGAAGAAAGATTAAAAACTAAAGATGTATAAATTGGCAAGGTGATGACTGATTTTGGCATGGGGCGCGGGAGGAGGGAATGTCACCTATTTGAAAAGTGAACACACAAGGGGGAAAAACGTATTTAACAAGGTGCAAAAAGGTAGACACAAAAGCTACAGGATCACACGATGATACTTAACTTTCTGGTTTAATATTAAAGAAAAATGTCTTGATCGAGACTAGTCTATGGAGTAGTCTTTCAAGGGAAATGATTGAAGCCTCATTGCGTGAGACATTTCAAATAAGACTGGACTGTATGTTGTAGGAAACCAGTCCTCTGGCATTGCAGGATTGAGTAGATGACCTAATGGATCTTTTCCATATCTAGTGTTCACGATTCATCATGCATTCAGCTCACAACTAGTTTACCCTTCAGAACTGATGCTCACCTGTGTGACCAGCCAGCTCACGGCTGACACGTACATTTCCTTCACGAGTTTTCAGGTTGTAAATGGAACAGATGTTATCAAGACCACCACAGGCCACATAGTTTCCAGAGGGGGCATATGCACAGGTCATCACCCACGATGAACGCAGAGGAATGGCATGGACCTGGAGCAGAGGCAGAATACATAATTTATCTTTAAGTCAATTGACCATCAGGAAGTTCTTATTTATATCTTCTCTGTAACTACACTACTCTCTCTTTAAAGGTAGCAGGAGGAAGAATAATGAAAAAGATGAAAAGTCCTTGTACTCCAAGGGCCAACCTTATTTCAGAAATAATTTGCGCATTTAACTTGTCAAAACAAATAGTATCTTAATTAAAACTTCAGAGTTGCACTCTAGCAGAGAATCCAGTTTAATAGGTAGCGCTATGAAAAGCCACAAGAGCTAGTCAATGGTTTTATGATTATAGATCGAGCACTATGTTTTAGCTTGAGAAAACACACTGGTGCTCAATTTATGGTAGGTAAAAAAACGTTGATTCCAGGATTATATATGACGAAGGAACAACAAACAGCAAAAAAAGACTTACTTTGACCCTCTTTTAATCGTGCCTTAAAACCCACTTCAACACTTACCAAACAAGTTAGCAAACCAAGGCCTTTCACTATTTAAACAAACTCCCCTTTTGCTCCCACATGCCATATACTAGCCTTCGTTGAGTAACCACAGTCTTATTAATGCTAACCCTGTCCTTCCTTCTCTAATCCAGACCTACTGTCTTATTATTCCTCTTGTTGCACTGTGTTTGAAGTTAGTTTGTAAACTCCTTGAGGGATGGATCATGTTATATCTATTATGAGGCTCTGTGAAATATCCCTGATTTCCTCATATTTCTTGACTAGGGATTAGAAAGGTGTTTGTCCCTCTGTGCATACAATCTCCATCTATAGCCATTACAAATCCTGCGGTAATGGGTGTGATATAAAAGTACAAATAGCAGAGTAATGCTCTGTGCTAAAAATACAGCCAACTAATTGCAAAACATGTATCTTCTACCATGAAGCTAATAAAATGCCTCAAGATGGTTGTTCAAATCTCATCCCTAGGATAGAACACATTTACGATCGCATTCTTTATTACTACTAACATCGTGCACAGCATAATTGCAATGAGCACTGCTTAGCCATAATGTGGTGCTAGAATATTTTTAGACAACCTGTTTTCAGCTGTAGACAAACTGTTTTCAGGTGTAAGCTATTCAACTATTAATCAAAAACTTTCTAGTAATAAGAAGATGCCCTCAAATTTCCTGGATTGGAAAGTCTTTCTTTCACTGAGTGGATCTTGTTTCAGGGGGATGATGTACTTGTAACTAGAGCACTTGATAAAGAATTCTATTTCTGACTCTACCAAAGACTTCCTGTGTGACCTTAATCAAGTAGCAACATCTCTGTGATTCAGTTTTCCCAATTCTAAAATAGGGATGCAAGTCGCTGTTTTCAAGGGATGTTGAGTGTTAATTAATGTTTTCAAGAATATTGAAATCCTAATATGGAAATCACTGTAGAAGTATTTTATTTCCTATTTCTGCACTGTCTTTTTCAATTAAAAACAACACTTCTGCTTATTTAACTGCCATTTACCTGCTGAAAATTTTTATTTTAAGTTCTCCACAACCAGTTTTGTAATAATTTACAAGTATTGTTTTTTCATCCTTCATGGAATTTATTGGAGAGCTCATAACAGTAGCCACTGGACACCAACCACAGCCATGTGACCACAAACCTTCTGTAACCCTTTTTCATGTCATGTTACTACAGCCAGAAAGAGACCAGTCTCTTACCTGCATTCTTGTAATTCTCTGCTTTATTACAGAGCCCCAACTAGTATGGCTGTGCTTTGTCTCACATCGCACATTTCTGGGAAACGTTTGCTAATTAACTTCTACTCCCTCTGATGACAGCTGCTCCTGCAGCAGCGAAGCAAAAATACACTCACTGAACAATGAAATATTTTTAGTTTCTCGGAAGCTGGGTAAACATATTTTATATATAATTAATGTGTGTGTGTATGTATGTATGTTATACAGACAGACAGTAGCTAGGTCTCTAACCACATTGTTTAAAATCATAATTTTAGAGGTCAGGTGTTAGGCCTAAACTAAGTTTTGGTTGTATCCCTTTAAGAGCCAAGGTAGGTAAACAATATTCCTCTCCCTTGTATTTTCAGTCAAATTTTAATTAAGCAGCAGTATGTCAATTACTCTCACCTTGTTTGTGGTGTAGCTATCCCAGATGATAAGTTTGCCATCCTGGGAGGCACTAACTAGAAGCCTGGAGAGAAAATAAGAACGAACAAAAACAATCATTGCAGGCAAATATGGAGAAAACAAAGCCAATTAGTTTCAAATGAAATGTTATCATAACTACTAAGATGTTTACATGAATGCTTTAAAAAAGTACAATGCAACATCAGTATTCTTTTAAATAACGTGCCTCATAGAAACAAGAGCAGATGCACTTCATGTTAAATATTACAGCAGTTAACAACAAAGCAACTCAATAGTTGTTGCAATGTTATGTGGTTAAATCACAAGATAGGAAGTCAGGAGATCTGGGTTCCATGCCTGACTACCACTGACTTTTGGAAAAGTCACCTACCGCTCTATGCCTTCCTTTCCCCAAGCATGGTATTTTTATTTTATTTTTTTTAAAACAATTTTTCCTCTCCCAAAGACAGCAAGAAGTTCACTTTTTTCTGATTGTCAAAAGATTCAGAGGGTGGGGGTTGGGAAAACGCATACAGAGTTATTAGTAAAAGCCTATTTTAACTGCTTCCCAGTTATTCTCAGAAGTTCATCTTGTTTCCACATACTTTGCATTGTCTTCTACAGACCTTCCTTATTAAAGGAGTCTGGGAAAAGGACCTGAGAATTCTTCTTCCCACCCTCCCCAGCGGATGATCTACAGATGCACAAATCAGGAGAAGGAGAAGTAGCGAAAATAATCCCTAAACAGCAGTGATGTCTCTTGATCCCTTTGAAACCTTGGAAATCACAGTGATAGGCACACTTAAAATAGGCAGACCCAGCTAATTATTTGGACCCATCTTCCCAATTTCTGCTTATTCTAACACATGGTAAAAAAGGTTGTTTCAGGATGAAAGCCAATAAATACATAAAAATAAATAAAATCCAGTGTCTGAGTAGAGTTAAAACCCAGGCCGACAGAAAATTTAGTTTACAGAGAAGTACTCTGCATAGAAGGGTAGAGTGTAGGGAAGGAAGGGGTGGTTTTCTTTTGTTTCCTTTTGGGGCGGGGGAATCTCTCCCCTCTCAATGGAGACAGACTGAAATACACCATTTTGTCAGAGTGGTATTCTTGGTCTAGTTTAAAATATGAGCTTTTGTTTCCAGGCTTCTTTTATTTTTTAAAGAACAGCTTTTCTAACGCCAAGAACAAAAAAAGTTCAGATTGCAGGAACAATCAGACAAAAACAGCTGAGAGTGCCTTTTTCTGTATTAGGGAAGCAGATATAAAATAGAGTTCAGATATGTAATATTTCATGCTCTGAGTCCTGACCTTACACATTTTCTTTCTGACTTATTACTGGGGCTAAGAGTTTGGCTATTCATCTTAAAAGGTTCAAAGTATTATGCCAAAGCACCACATCATTTCAATTTCCATCTTAATATCTGTATGTGCAAACCTAATTCAAGTGAAAAGTCCAAGTTTCAACACACAAGTACTGTGTGATAATACCTAGTGTAAGAGAATACCGGTCGTTTTCTAACTTTCAAAGCTGCTACTATCCTAAGAGGCCTTTGTGAAAAGTGTCATATTTAATTGTTTATTTTAAACACACACAGTCGTGAGAAGGGTCCACATCTCAAGCCAAGTCTCTCCTTTTAAAGATACATTCATTTAAAATCCAGTGCCTGGCTATGACAAATCACTTAACCAAACACACTACTCTGAGCTTGCTATTAGATCGTCTATTCACAAATCTGACTGCTCTATTTTTCAGATTATGGTGTCAATACAAGGGCTAATTTAAACAGTACAATTACAAATTTGGGGTTAAGGACTTTCATACTGTGTGTACACAGTGCCTTATCCTTAATTGGGGCTTTTACGTGTTTCTACAATACATGCTCAGGGTGGTCACTTTAGATAAGCTATTACCAACAGGAGAGTGGGTTTGTGGAAGGGGGGGGAAAGAAAACCTGGATTTCTGCTGGAAATGGCCCAACTTGATTATCATACACATTGTAAGGAGAGTGATCACTTTAGATAAGCTATTACCAGCAGGACAGTGGGGTGGGGGGGGGGGGAGGTATTTTTTCAGGCTTTGTGTGTATAAAAAGATCTTCTACACTTTCCACAGTATGCATCCGATGAAGTGAGCTGTAGCTCACGAAAGCTTATGCTCAAATAAATTGGTTAGTCTCTAAGGTGTCACAAGTCCTCCTTTTCTTTTTGAGAATACAGACTAACACGGCTGTTACTCTGAAACCATAAAACATGGGTCACTTGCAGGTTTAAATGGCAAATTCTCTGTAACTTGAAATCTTTAAATCATGATTTGAGGACTTCAGTAATTTGGGCAGTGGTCACAGGTCTATTACAGGAGTGGGTGGGCAAGGTTCTGTGGCCTGCAATGTGCAGGAGATCAGACTAGATGATCATGACGCTCCTGTCTGACCTTAAAGTCAATGAGTCTCTGAGAAAGAGTTGTGGCTGCGTTAGGCTACTCTGCTGTGCACAGGTAAAACACAGTTGCGTCACTTGAGTCTGAGTTTTGAACTTTTAATCCAATTTAATGAAAATAACCTCTAGTCAGCTCCCCTTAAAATTGAGTTTGCTGATAAATACTACACTTACCTTCTGCGGATAACAGTATTACCTGATTTATCTATATATTAAAACTTCATGTCATACACTTTTGAGCCTTCTACTTCCGCAGGGCAGGAACCATGTATCTGTACAGTACTGAACGCTTCTAGCACTTAATTAAAATTTCATTTAAATGTCACTAATTTCAAAAGCTTTGTTTCCAACAGATTCCATTTCAAGTAGCATGCCCTGAAATTTGTTACAAATCTTCACACTAAAACTAACAGAAAAAGGAGATAGTTTTCTCTGACCTTTCCATTTTAGTAATCTCAGGTGTTACTTACATCTATTTATGGTAACACAAACAACAATTTTCAGATTTTCAACTTAATTATGTCCCTTCAAATGACAGCATAATCAGTAAAACATTCCTACTGCATAGTAATCTTTTGAATCTCTCCTTTATTGTTAGGGGTATCGGCGCCTCCTAAAAAAGGATAAAGCTGTTTCAGAACTTGGAGGGGATGCATCATGTGTCAATTGTCTCTAGTGAAAACAGCTTTGCCTGGAACTTAAAATGTAAGTATCGTGAGTAGTGGTGTCTGTTTCCTACATGACTTTCTAAATATGCTAACAGTCAGAGTTATTTCCTGAAAACTGTATAAACAGACTGATTGGAAAGGGAGAAAATGCAGTGGGATGGAGATTGTTTGAAGTCAGATTTCTTTTTAGAAATCTGAATGAATTTAGTGTTCATAAAATGCAAAACTAAAATGCACTGGGTTTAAGCTGACAGTGAGGTAAGTGCTAAACTGCCTTCAACAATATAGCTCTGCGAAACCACCATCATGGATGTACTCTATAAAGATGAGACTATTGTAGACACATAGCTTTAAGGCTATATACCTGTTAAGGAGTGCTGATATTATGTTTGTGTGAAATCACTTCAACCAGAAGATGTATGTAAAGTCTTGTTCACAGATCTCTTAGGTTGTTGTATAATATATTTGAAAGGAAAATTAAAAAAAAAAACCACGACTTTGTTTTTATAAAAGTTACAAAAATATCTGACCGCCTTCACTTTTTGAAAGAAAGAATGTTAGATAAAAATAGGACAAAACAGAGATCTATGATCTTTATTGTGACATCAGAACTAATTTGGTGTTTCCTCTGGCTGGCTTTGCTCTAGTTGTACAACACAATCCTATTGCTAAAAATGCTTAAGTTACTGCAGGTGGGGGGAGACACTGGGTCATCACCCACACCAGCCCCTACTCTGTGGCTGCCTTCTACCTGTGTCAGATGGCTGTAGCTCCCAGCCCTAGCTCCACAGGTGAGACCCTCCTGACCCAAGTGGGGGAGGTCCCAGCACTCCAACTGGAGTGTCCGGTTTTTAAATTTTATGAAGTTGGCAACCCTAATATGCCATATCATTTGCAACATTGGAAACTATATACTTATGACAAGCTAATATAGTACTCCTATGAAATAAAATGAGATTCTACAAAATGTATGAAACTTCAAATGAAACTGTTACACTGTGTTTATCTGTTGCTCTGCCAACCCTGAGCAATTCAGAAACTGAAAATAAAAACAAGTACCACTCCTTTAAAAATATTTTCCTCTATATCTCCCCCCTCCACCCCACAACTAAGCACTTTGCTACTTTTGCACTAGATATACAGTAGAACTTCAGAGTTATGAATACCAGAGTTAGGAACTGACCAGTCACACAAACACACACACACACTTCATTTGGAACTACGCAGTCAGGTAGCAGCAGAGACAAAATAAGTAAACAAACAAATAAAAAGCAAATACAGTATAGAACAGTATTAAACAAACTACTTAAAAAAATAAAGGGAACATTTAAAAAAAAGATTTTGACAAGATAAGAAAACTGTTTCTGCACTTGCTTCATTTAAATTAAGATGGTTAAAAGCAACATTTTTCTTCTGTATAGTAAAGTTTCAAAGTCAGTGTTCAGTTGTAAACTTTTGAAAGAACCAGAACGTTTTGTTGAGAGTTATGAACAACCTCCATTCCCAAAGTGTTTGTAACTCTGAAGTTCTACTGTATAAACAGACCTAGGATTTTAAGTTACTTAAGAATAGAACTGCTTATCAATCTTGTGTAAACAAGCTCTGTACTTAAGACTGAATTAACAAGATCACCTTCATTAGATTAACAAGGCTCCCTTCAGTAATTTCTGTTGATTAGAAATGTACTTGCTTTGACCAGATTAATTCACATATTTACAAGATTAAAAAGAAGCTAATTCACCTATTCCTACAATGAAGGAATACCATGTCTACTCATTTTAAGATGGACAATTCACCGGGGTGCGTGCTTTAAGATTCTTATAAAACTACACATTATAGTTGTCATCGACAGGGATACCGTTAGCATCCATTTTTTAATTGTCTGGAAATCACAGAAGGACTAATATCCACAGAAAAAAATAAGTGCCTATTTTAAAATGCTTCCTCTAAATCACTGACAACAGTATTTTTCAGGCAAGAAGGGGTTGATATTTTGTATCTGAATTTAGATTATGATGCCAAAAATATGGAGATTAAAAGGGAAAAAAAGTGACATTTACTGTTGCTAAATTCTCTTAGTACCAGAATAGTAGCAAAGGTTATGCAACTTCAAATGAAGTAACCACCCCCACCTGCATCCAAGATCCCCTGCTCCTCAAAAAGAGCTCTGGTATTTTAAAATTCCACTTCTAGCGGAAAGGACTTCAGATGGATTATAGGCATGACCTGAAATGATGGGACTGAATTTCTAACCATACTGTATGAAAAACCAAATTGAACTTTTCCACAAGATCTTAATGAAACCCAAAAGATTATCCTTCTGTGCCAGTGACACTCACCTGGAATCAGTCCCCCAGTGCATTGCATAAATTTTAGCCAAGTGCCCCCTCAATGTTCTTCTAGTACGCATCTGAATTCGACCCACTGGATCAATGTTGGCTGTGATCTAAATAAACAAGTTATTATAGACCTTAGATTCTGCATTTATCTTACTCACAGAATATTCAGATACTTATTAATGCAGAAACACTTATAGTAGTCTATTGCAGAAAACCAAAGGATTCAATGCACACATTTTGGACATGTTCAGATTTAGACAAACAAATTGACTAAGAAATATGTTAGTGCTATGCAGTATTTGCTTGGTTATTCTCTCATTTACTATTGTTCCCCAGGCCCAGCTCTTTATCTGAGCATTGTAGGCAAAGCCCTAGCTAAATATAATTGCACAATATTACTCTGGAAGAACATGCATGTTATCCAGGCCCAGTGGGAAACAACTGCATGCATTAGAAACTCTCAGAACCCGGGGCAGGATTATGTTCAGTTTCTATCTTCTGAAGCCTCTAGTTTTAAGGTTACTACAATTTGTGGCAGAGGGTTCCCGCTGTGCCCCCCCGACCCCCCCAACAATAGAGATGCATTCAACAGAATAACGCAGCTTTCTGTTTTTAAAGAGGCTGGGAAGATGGGGTGTTTGTATCTGAGGCTTTAACTGCACCTAACATTTTGAAGATAAACTCCCAATTTAGATCTAGCATAAACTGCCTTTTGAACAGAAGATTTTCAAATGAGAATATTAATATTTTATCTAACTTTTAAAGCATAAAAGTATATTCTGGAATGAGTAAGTGAGTAGCAAAGTGAGGAAGAAATCAATACATTGTCGTTATACCATTACATTTAATATAAATAGTGTCTCTGGCCTGGAGCAAAGCGCTCACTCAAAAAATAGCACATAGCACATTTCCAGTAATATACGGAACGAACGAACACACATTAGTGAATCCAAACCAGTTTATAACTCCATTTTACAGGTAACGTCTGCATACTTGTCCTGTCTCCACCTAAAAAAATTATTTAGCAGAAACATTTGAGTAAAGAACTCTGCTTCATTTTGAAAACTGCCCAGACAAATTAACGTTCAAACTAACAGATCGGGCCAGATTTAAAATTCCTACACAATGCCCATCCCTTGTACAAATACAGTAGCTTTTTAGAGACTTTTGCACATGGGAAATATTTTAGATATTAAACTTAGCACATTTATTTTACATTTATGGGCAACTCTCTTTGTCACATATAAAAATGTCCCCAGTAATTTAAATGCTGAAAGAAGGCCTCTTGCTCACTACCTCTCTCTTGCTTGATGCTGCAGTGCTGAAGTTGTAGCACTGTATTTGTAGCATTACTCACTTCCACAGCAACAAACTGATATCAGACACAGGATTATTACTCCCAGTTCAAGCAAAAGGGATTAAACTGGGTGGTGAAAGGTAAAATCTGATTGAAAACACATCTGGAACAATAGCTCCTGGCAAAGGTTTCTTTATAAATGGCCTTCCAGGTTGCTCCAATGTGAGGGTCCTTCAAATTATAAATCCATCTGTATAATACTTGTATTTAAAAAAAAAAAAAAAAATCAGGGAAAGGAACTCAGTGACCTACCAAGGAAAGTACTACTTGATCCTACTACTGGCAGTAGTTCGCCATGCATAAGCAGCAGGATCTGTGTGTAATCAAAAAAATCACACCATGCAAAGAGTCAAAGGAAGCTAATGTTGCCAAGACTAGACTATAGGAAGAATTAAGATATTGTTCATAATTTTACACACACACAAAACTTTCTGTATTTACATTTTCCTTATGTAGATTTTTTGCAAATAAAATGTGAGCATCTGAAATGAGTACTTACCTGGGCCAGAGTGGCATCTGCACATGCTTTTCTGGCATCCTATAACAAGGGAGAATTAGAGACAACACATCAGAGACAGCTTAATATGTGCTGAACCATTTATGCTGACCATTCTGCAAAAGTTACTCGGAAGCAAAACCACTAGATTTGGGAAAATCTTGCAGTTATGATCACCCCAAGGAGAGAAATTGGCAGAGGAACCTATCAAGCCAGACTCTGTTGCCAATGTGTGTCTAGTATTCTTGCTGGAACCTTTATTTATTGAGAAGATAATTCTAGCATTTAGTGGGCAAGGGTAGGAAGGAATGTTTAGCAGCAAGTTTCAAAGTGTGATTTCTGGGGTAGTGGGTTATCCCTGAGTACTTACTGCTGACATTCTGTGCATCTTATAATGGATGGCCAAAATCCAAAATGCAAAGTATAAGGGGAAACTTGGACTCAACAGATGCCTTAAATAGGGGCTATACACAATATATATTTCCAACTCTGTTTAAGGAACCTAAAATAATTTGTTACATAGAGCTAGAAAACACTTCAGAATAAAAAAAAAAATCAAACTAAAGGAGTCTGAAAGTACACTGCTCTTCACCTGGCCAACAAATACTTTAGTCAATGCTTTAGTGTTTAATGCTCCATACCTTGGGGTTTTTTTTTTTTGGTTTTTTTTTAACAAGCAGAGATGAAAAAATGCAGGAAGTCTCTTTATTGGCGCCAAGCTTTTGTTCTGTTTAAAGAAGTTTAAAATTAATGAAGACAGGAAGACATGACATTAATTTCTTAAGCTAGTTATGTACACAAAAAGTCTGGATAACTTGTGAGTTGTCCTAGAATGGTCATTTATATGGATGGAGTCAGCTCAAAGAAAGACTCAGCTATTTTATTCATGTTGTGAAAATGTATGATTGCTTAGGCTTCTCATTGAAAATACTTCCAAGCGCATACTAGTAAGAAATGGTGGTGTTTATCATTTTAATTAACAATCTGGAAGAGGAAGTAAACAGCACATAAATAAAATATGCAGGTTATAAAAAACTGGAATAAGTTTCATTCACCAGCCAGAGGACTTAGATTAGAAGCAAAGGCTGCCCAGGCAAATTTGGGCTGTCTATTCATAAGTATTAGTCACATATAGGAAGAGAACTATGGCTCTACCGCAATCATACTGGACAACATTATTCAGTTCTGGGCACCGAATTACTAGTAATATTGAGAAATTGGTAGGAGTTCAAACAAAATTGACCAGGGTTTGATTTATAAAGAAAGACTACTGGCTAAGTGTAGCTTGGCTAAAAAGGGAAGGGGATATAATATTTTACAGTTATGTGAAAGGTGTAAATACCTTGGATGGAGAGAAGTGTAGGAAGGTACAGGGAGTTACAATTAAGTAATGGGAGTAAGAAAAAGAAGTGTTGGCTAAATACGAACTGCTTGTCAGCAAGAGTTATTGGCCTGTGGAACAGCCAAGGGAAGAGTTGGAAGCCCCACTGCTGGAGACTTAAAACTAGAACAGACATAGCACGAGAAAATGTAACCGAGGGAACAATCCTGAATCAGCCCCAAGGAAATTAAACAAGTACATCTTTTCCATCTTTAAATTTCTATAATTGCATCCATGCAATTTGTCAATAATTTGAGAAGGTTCTTTACTCTATTTGAGCTTTCTTCAAAAGCACGTGCACACACACAAGGACGTGTTTAAATTATATCATAACAGGATTTAATCTTAAATACGTATCCACGGTTCTGCTCTTAGTCACTTGCTGACAATATTAAACAAAAACTGTAGGGAAATAAGTGAACTCTGTCACACTAATAAATTTCTGTCTGTTTATATTTGTGCTGCCATGAAGTCTATACTATAATCACAAGATACTTGCACATTTTCATGGTGCAATACAATATATTCCACTTTTCTAAATAAAAGGGAAACTTTTACCCACTACAGCACAAGGTTTTTTCATTCATTTTCTACTCTCAAATTCTGTTTATGAAAAGTTCTATTGATCACACCCTGCAAAGAACAGTTACTTATTCCACAGCAATACTGAAGATCTTCTAGATGTTGTCTGTGTGGAACCTACTGTAGATGTGCATATGCCTCGTGTGCAAGATCAGAATTTTTTGAACAGGTAAGTTCCAAAGACGAAGGATAGAACAGCCATGACATTCCCTCAGTTCCCTCTCAATTTGAAGCCCATAGTAGATGAGGACTCTGCAAAATGGGGATGAAGGGGAGTCATGAAATCCCTACTGATAACATCTCAAAGAACCTCAAAGAACCATTTGAGTAGTGTGGATTCAACTGCAACCGGCATCCACCCATGACGGTGGGATTTGAGGAGTCTTAGCTGCACCAACTGAGCAGTGATTGACGTATTCCTCTCCTGAACATAGCATCCGATATAGCAGCTGAACCCAAGGCATTGGGTTTGGCAAATGTCATTGGGTTACTCCACGTTGCCACCTTACAGATTTCCAATATTGGCATGTACATGAAACAGTTAGGGCATGTTACTTGTGTTCTGGAGGAGTGAACCTTGATGTTTGGTGGGAGAAATACACTGTCCTCCATTTTAATATTCTCGGTGATTAAATCACCTGATCTTTAGAATGTCCTGCTATGCCTAGACTGACAGGCTAGTTCAGACTATTGCCCCATCCATGTAACAAACCAAAGTCCTGGATACATTTAGCGTGTGCAAATTCTCTTTTCCCAGTGCTAAACATGGCTTCAGGAAGACAACAGGAAGGTTGACTGGTTTAGATGAAATTCTGAGACCACTTTAGGAATGAACTTCAGGTGAGGTCTTTGCACCACCGTGACCCTCTGGAATATCATATGAGGGTTTGGCTTTAAGTGCCTGAAGTGCACTCACTCTTCTGGCTGAAGTGGCAGTCACTAGGAAAACAGTCTTCAGTGTGCTGGTGTAAAGAAAATTCTGCAAGAGGTTCCAATGGAGACTCAGTGAGCCTCTGGAGGATTATACTGAGGTCTCAGACAGGAGAAGGTTTTCTGATTGCTGCATAAATTATTTTCCTCAACGAGCTATTTCAGGTGGGTTCAGAAGTGCTCAAAACCCACAGGGTGGGGTGCGGGTGCTGATACCTCTTCTCCACTTGCTTGGGGGAGAGAGGAAGAGTGGCTGGAGTTTACCATAGTCCTCTGGCCAATTCCAGGATTTCTTCATTAATTGGGAGGGTGATCCTGGCTGGTGTTGTCACACTCGCATATTAAATGTGTCATGAGACTGTTCCTGTATGAACGCAGTCCCAATGTGCAGGGTCTCTGCAATTTGAGACAGGAGGTCCTCAAAGGCTTTCCGCCTGGGGACTGGTGTCACTACCCTGAAGAGGATTCCTTGGGTAGAGGCAGGAGTCATTGTTGCCTCCCTGTCACTTCCTGCTCCTATGCACTCACATCCAGTTCCAGTGTGGCCTAGCCATTGATGCCATTAGGCAAAAAGGAATAAGTCAGCAATGGCAAGAAGGAGAATACCTCCTCTTCAAAAGGCAGCACCAAGAGGTGCTATGGAGCAGGTTCCAGTGCTGGTCATATCTGTGATACCAGGAATGTCTCCAGAGACATTATGGATTCCTCCAAGGCAGATCTCAGGTCTTTGCTCACCTCCATCACAGGTACCAGTGCCAGGTCTCTCACTCTGCCCTACTGCTTGGGGGATTTGTCCTTAGATTAATCTGTTTCATGTCCCTCTCTGGAACTCCCCTTTGGTTTTGGAACTACGTGTAAGCTTGGTTCAGCTACACGAGTTGGTGTCCCATTTGTGAGCAGGCACAGGTACCTACTTTAACACCTGAGGTGCCACGATAGAGGCAGTCAGTACAGATGCCGAGTCCATGAGCCCTGGGGTAGTCAGTGCCACGGTCTTGTGTGCAGCAGACTTCAGCAGTTGCTGTCAGCAGCATCACTGCTGACCACCTCAACATCAGTGGAGTCCTCTTCACCCACCTTCCTTCCACTGTTCAATCTTAGAGTGTGATGTGTGCTCGAGGGAGTGCTGGCCAACACTGGTTTGTGTGGTCTTGCTGTGGTCATGATTGTCACCTCTGGGTCTGCAGTAACCTGCATGAACCACTCTAGCTCATGTAGCTTGAACTGAGCTTGCAGGTGCTGGAGGAAAAGGACTTCCACACAGAGCACCTGACCGGGATGTGCCTTTCCCCTTGGCAGAAGACATTTGCTGTGACAGGTTTTAAACCCCGAGGGTTTGATTCCACCATGGAATGTGGCAAGCTGGTGTGAAGCGTCTTGCCCTGCTGTACGGCAGGGTGTAGTGGGGTTGTTGATGGACTTCCTTTTAAAAAAAAAATCCTTCCGTTAACTGGCTTAGGATCTCTGAAAAGAATAGTGTGTCACACACTCACTGGCTTCCGTCTCATTGCCACAGGCAGTAAGAGGAAAGTGAGAGAGTCGTAGCCACTCCATCCTTTATGCCCTTGTGCAAGAGCATGAGGATGCCAAAGGCATATGCACGGCTGCCAATACTGCTATTCAAAAAATCCGATCTTGAATGCATGAGTACCTACTCTGGGATTCACACTGACAAAATAATTGAAGAACTGTTGACTATGTTATGTATTATGCGTAGAGACTTCTATTCTCTTGAACAGCGATGCTCTGATTTGATGATCTAAAGTTGTTTGGCCAAAACTATTGTACGTAAATCCCAAATCCTTTCCAAAAATTGTGTTCTTTAACAGCATAGTTTAACAATATACAGGTTGTATAGTTTACAGTGATGCACCGTTGCCCTTTTAACAAGGTGGCTCCACAAAACTGTCCCTCTTTATGTTGCTGTAAGTCTTGAGCACAGTTCGAAAAACAGCTGTGTGTGACTTAGGATGGGGTCAGGGATTGGAATTTCTTCTCATTTACAAAAATGATTTGTTAAAAATAACTATGAAGGGAGGCAACACCACCTGGCAAACACACTTTCATTAAGTGTATTCTCTGGAAAGGAAATTGTTCCTGAAAAATATACTGCACTATGCCATCAGTGTTCAGGGGTGCAGAGAATCTGGACATGAGGGAGACGTGTATTCTAACCCAAGGACTTTTAAAAACAAAAAGCAAACAAAAAAAAACCCCCAGACTTGTTGAAATCAGGTGTATTAAAAGGCAGCACATTTGCTCTTCAGAAATACTTTTATGAGCCCTGGGAATATACCGACTCTGATGGGATAATTAGCAGCATTTAAAGAGGGTGAATTCTATTCTAGCCAAGAAAGATACCCTAACCTCCTCTTCAGTTTTCTAGCATCCTTTTAATAAAGTAACCCTGAAATCCCCCTGCAGTAGCTGACATACCATTTAAACTCTCAGTAAAATGTGCTACATCTAAGAACAATGTAATCCTACTCTTATTTTGGTGGCTTTAAAAAAATCTAACTGCAGAATTACATTGGTGAGGTCCAACATGCTGTTTACTGTACAGTACTGATGGCATCTAATTTCAGTGTACATTGATATTTATTGGTGTGAACTCTTGAAATTAAGGTCAGGAATTACAATTACTCACATCCTCTCCCTCTCAACTCTGGGACGCTTGCCTTTTGCTGCTCCCTCATTTTAAGTTAAAAAGAGGTGTGGGGTTGAAAGGAAGGCGTTTACAATGTGAAAGAAAAAGTGACCGTATCAGCTCACTTAAAACCAGTGTTTGGCAGTGAAGTCAAGTTGTTCTTGTGTCTGTATACTTTCACATGAATGCCAGTTTTCTGATTTGGCAGCCCTGCTATCCCAAATAGCACAGACATGAAGACTGGTGTACAAATCACCAACCCAATAACATTTCAAATTAGATTAAAATTACTTGAAGTTTGGGGTTTCTTTTTACTGTATAAGTGATGAAAAAGTCATCTTTGCACACTTTTTAAAGAACTTACTCAGTTTACAAACGAATCACAGCGCCATACAATAGCAGCAAGTTACACATAGCAATAGCAGTATTATGAACTCAGTTACATAGGTGTTTAAGCAGGCACGGAATATGGTTCCTGTCACAGAAAGTTTACATAGACAGAAGGGGGAGGGGTTGGGATAGAACGCAATAAAAAGCAAATGAGAGGAAAACTTCAGCATGTGTCCTGTTAGTACTACTTTTCTATGCACACTGTGAACAATGAGACGACTAGGATATAAATCTCCACAAAGTGCTTCCATAAGAGGTCTCAGAGAGGGTGAAGACCCTAGCACACTGGGTCAGGAAAAAGCGATCCAGGTGCAGGAGATTCAAGTAGAAGGAGGATGCAGTGCAAATTAGTGTGGCTTGGGTGGAACAAATGGGGTGGTGAGGGTCAAAAGGAAACACAACCAGAGAGCTTGTCTGGAGAAAAACTGTACATCACCAGTGTCAAGTAACCTACATTTTACTTGAATGAGGTAGAATGGGGGTCCAGACATTTTCATTACTTTTGTTGGTTTGGGTCTGAATCCTGTGTGGTATCAGAGCCATTATTTTGGGGCCTAAAAAAAATTGGGGGCTGTCAAAGTTTTTAAGACACACATTGCCATGATGACAACAGTTGCTGACAAGCACAACCTGCAGGAAGCAGAAGTGATGTTCTCTCCCCGCACTAAACCTATTAAGTCTTGCCAGTGTAAGTACTATAACTTGGCTATTGTGCCTCACTTTACTTCTGAGCTGGAAAGACAGAATGTATTTTGAGCAATAATCCAGTGCCCACTGGATCACAACAACTATTTTGGAATATTTTAAAAAAACCTCAAAGAATACAAAATCTAGTTAATGTAAGCTATTTATTTTTTGGACTTGTCACTTTACACAAACTGAAATTAAACTGATCAATTTCACTCAATTTATATAGTCAGTTTCTCTTTCTGCTTCATATGTGCTAGTGTTTCCAAAGAATTAAAAGACTTTGGGAATAATTTTGTTCATGTTAAGTTTCATAAAATCCTTTTGAAAGAAACCTACAAAATGTCCATTTGACAATAATCCTCTTTTGGAAATATTAAAACACTTCTCTTTTATTTCACTCAGCATATACATGGTGAGTAGATGTGCCAGCAAGTGAGAAAGAACCAGAGTATATTTGCTGTGATCTATAACTTAACAACAAGATGACCTAGTTTTACTGCTTGTGTATACCTTTGAGCATAAAGCAGGAAATAAAATCTAGACAGTAAATAAAATATAATATTGTACTTCAGCCAGTCTTTTTAAACTACTTTCTGAGAGGGCTGTGAGGAAGTTTATTCATGCTAAACTTCATGGCAAGTGATGAATTATAATTTGTTTAGTACTAGACGCTACTGGTCCAAAATACTAAACCAAGATATTATCTATCTAAAAGTGTTTTACAAATCAATCTGAAGACTTCATAAAAATATCAGATACTCAAACCTGATGCATTAGAGATCTGGACAGCTTAAAGTTTCAAGAGAAATGTATACTGGCCTTAAGGTCAGGTTAAGATACAGAAATGCTTTTAAATATAATCTATACACTCTTATATTATTCTGTGTGACTCAATCATAGAGCTCACTAGAAACTGGAATGGCTAAAAGCAACTTCCTATGGAGTTATCTGTGCTTACGTTTATAAGATATCCCATATATTAACTTTTGAAATATATTTTGCTTGTTAGGCTGAAACTTTCACGTCATTTTTGTCCATCTCCCATCCTGTTCCTAAAAGGACACAACTGGCATAAGTATCACTTGCATTAACCTAAATACACACATTTGATTTGATTTAATACATACTCTGATTTGGTTTTTCAGTTGCTCAGCCTCCTGGCGTAACTGGTCAAGTTCACTCATCTTCCTGTGCTAATGGTGGGCTTCACTGCCACCTCTGAGACAATCAGAAATCTGAAATACAGACACACGAGGATTTATTACAAAAATAAAACAAAAATCGAAGTTTGATAAATTAGTGGAGCAGAATGTCCTTTCAGTATAGCTAGAACTCAACCCAGATTTTTTTAACGATGGGTAAAGTCAGCTACAGTGGGTCCAAGGCCATTTTTCTCACATCTATTCAGAACAAGGTATAGTCACAACCCTTCATATCTACTGTTTCATTCTTTATGCCCAGGACTAATAAAATATGTGTAGGAATGTTTCCTCTCCTTTCCCTCAGGTCCCACTGCATTTTTCCTACCATAAAATATCTTCTTGATTGCATTTTGCATAAGCTGTAATACTGCATGAGCAAAACGCTGATTTTTTACAAACACTAATTGTGATAAACCCTTTTTCCCTTGGGGTAAAATTCTGTGTAAAAAAATCAGTGGAAGATTTGTTTTTAATCAAAGAAAAGATAAAGATGTCTCTAATATTTATAGACTGGAGTAACAAACTGAGAAGCCAGGAATACGATAATACAATGAAGTTTCCTGAAATTTGGTGATTGTGAGGAATATGGTCTGGATAGCTGAGTAAACAGGGATTGTTCAGGTCCTTATGAGGCAAAAGAAACCAAAGGGACAGTATATTTGGGTGAGAAGCCCTGAAGTACCTGTTGGGGAACCTCATTTAGTTTTCTCTTGCTAGGTAGTAAAGTCGTACTGGAATAGATATTTGTAATGTTATGTGCAATTTCTACTGTAAATATACTTTCTGTTTATCCTGTGATGTAACTGAGAAGCAAATATGAGCTTACAGAAATTAGATGAAATATTAAAATGTTTCGTTTTATACAATTACGTTTGTTCTCACGCTTGCCACAGAGCCCCACTGTAAGACTTTTCATGTAGTACATAATTGGGGTGGGGCTAGCCACTACAGAGGACTAAACAAAACAAGTTCAACTTAATACAAATAGCTAGGTAACACCATTTCTCGGTTTTTGAAATGTATTCTAGACACTGTTTCATACAAAAATTCACCCAAAAAACTGTGGATATGACAACTTATACCTGCTTTAGGAGTTCAACTAAGTTACTTCAGGCATAATTAAAACTGTCAAAAGAAAATAAAGCAAATGTGTGGAAAGCAAATGAGGTATTTTAGAAGCTACCTTGATCTTCCATATTTAGTATTATCCACGCTGCTGCTGTTCATTGTTTGCCAGTCATATACATTTGATTCCTCTATTCCTCCACTGTATGGCCATAATAGATTATGCATATTTTATGTATTATCAATGGACACTGTCTTGCTTTTAATTGCTACCCTTGTGGCCATCATTACCTCTTTTTCAGCAAATCAAACCTTCACGTTCCTGAACTTTGAAAACGACAACAGATATAACTTCTTATACTATTAAAATCAGTGTATAGAAATTGTAGTAATGTTCAGAGAACACAAAGCCATCTTCTCCAAAAGAAATTCTGGCAATTGTTTTAGAACAGCAATGAATGGTCGTCTACTAGGATAATGACCTAAGATCTCATTTACACTTTCTATAACAGTGTTAAAACGGTTTCATTCTGTCTACAGTATCAATTACACAGTTTAATGAGTTGGAGAACCTGCTGCTGACAGCCATTTTATGCAATAGCTGGTTTTCCTAGTGTAGATCCTGAGTTATTGGCTAGCATACATGCCTCTGGCTGCTGCATCCTAGTAGGAGATTGTCTGTAAACAATCTAGACCAGACAGAGCTAAAACACCATCCCTGAACCACCATGAACTTCCCACAAAGGCAATTTCACTCCAAGATGTTACTCAAACTATTTAAATATCTTCTGCTAAGTTTACAATACTTAGCCTTTAATAGAAATATTTTCCTAAACAAAACTATCATTTTCCTTTAGTGTTCTGGCCTAAAAATTCATAGTTACCCCCAAACTGAGTTTCTTTTAACGTGGTAGTACTAGGCACTAATGTAAAATTGCAGAGGTACAGTAGCAATTCTAATGAAATTTACATTTAGCTGTGAGGAACAAGGCATATGGCTGTGTCAGAATTTTAGAGCTAATATAAGAGTGGAACATTAACTCAATTTTACAGGCAGATTAAGTCACTAAATTAACCTTTTTAAAATACTTCAATAGTATAAACATCCAAACCAATTTATAAACGTGACATTATCGCTGGCTAAATTCTTAAATTAGAGCACTTGTTAAAAGACTTATTTTAAGAACAGTGTTTAGTTTTTTAGATAGATAGATAGATAGATATGTTATAGCAAATTTTTCATTTAGCAAGGCTGTTAAATTTGAGCTAATAAACTGCTGTCGTATTTGTTTCTCCCTTTAAGGGCTATCTATAGCATGTATGAAAATCTAAAGAACAGAACTGGTATTTATTTTTGAAAAAGTAATTAGGTAACTAGAACGGATCCATCACCACTAAAGAACACAAATGCTGTGCTAGCAGCTTCAGATATTATTCTACTGGGATTTAATCCGCCTTTTAAAAAACACCCACCTCACAGGTAGCCCTACCCAGGAGGAAAGATAAAGATAATTGCAAAAGTCCCCTGCTAATCAGCGATGAGATGGTATAGTAAAGGCAACTCAACAAGCAAAGAGATTCTAATCCACCAGTAAAGAAGTGGAAAATAGATGACGTGAAAGTAAAGTGCTAATGCTCTCTAAATAGGGTCATTCTGTTGCTTTCTTACAGCTTTCTATCGTAGTAAAAAGTACTTTAAAGTACCTCAGAACTTTAAACAGCTCCCAGAATCTATCAAGACAAATATCAAATGTCCAAAACTTCTGACACTATTACTTACAAATATACTGGTTTCAGAGTAGCAGCCGTGTTAGTCTGTATTTGCAAAAAGAAAAGGAGGACTTGTGGCACCTTAGAGACTAACCAATTTATTTGAGCATAAGCTTTCGTGAGCTACAGCATTCCAATGAAGTGAGCTGTAAGCTTATGAAAGCTCATGCTCAAATAAATTGGTTAGTCTCTAAGGTGCCATAAGTACTCCTTTGCTTTTTACAAATATACTGTTCTCTTCAGCACTCCAAAATATACTTACATTAGAAACTTGAGTCAGCTCCTACCAAAAAAATCTCCAGTCATACTGTTCCAGAGCCCAGACGCTGTGTTAATGTGGAACTAGGTCTCTTTCTCCCTTCAGATTCCAGGGTCATAGTTAAGCCCTTGTAAAACTGTTGGTTTAGCTTAGTACCCCATTCAAATCCAGTTAAGACTAAACCTGCTGAGAGCCTTATGCTGTCCACTATCCTTCTGACCCATATTCACCATTCTGTCTTCTTTGGAATATTCTTTCACTTCAGAATATTCTCCACTCTGAGTTCAGTACTAGGGACTCATCTGCTGAACCACACACCAGTCTTGAGAATGGAGCAGTCAATGCTCATCTTGTCTCTGCAGCTCAGCTCTCTTGCTTGGAGTTGTTTGTACTGCAATTTTGACAATGAAAATCACTTCAGAGCAATACAGGCACTTGACTAAACAGTGTTCTTTAGCATACAGGGTGTCAAATTTGTCACATTTCAGCTTCACCACAGATCAGTTAGACTGTAATTACAACAATTTTAAGTTATTGTTTAGCTCTATTTTAGCTGGTCAAGAATATAGAAATATCTACCATCAAGCAGAAATAATAGTCTCTGGTATTATACCTTTCGGACAACTAACTCCTCACCTCTGTGAAGTGGTGGTGTCCTCATTTTACAGGTGGGGGAACTAAGGTCCACAGGTTAAACAATCTGCTCAAGGTCACAGTAGTGTAATGACAGAATCAAGAATAAAACCTACGTCTTCTGGCTTGCAGTCTCCTACTCCAGTCACTGGAGATGCCATCTGCAGCTTTATCTTTAAAAAGTCTGGTATGGACTAATATAGCAGCAGACAAAGGACTAGCTACATATCTGTCCTGCTACAGCACATGGTGTAACATGGTTCCAATCTTCTACTCATGCCAGAAATTATAAGATTATAAACAATGGAATTATATTCTTCACCTACTTATTGAAATATAGTATTGTTGTTTTTTTAAAAAATCCTTAAAAAGTCTTGAAAGGAGACAAAAACTGATCCTAAAATCAGAATATTGTTGAGGAAGTTCACCTTACAGTGACTGAGCCTGGTAGTATCATTCTGGATCATCTGAATACATTTAGCAGTTTTTAAAGATATACCAGATGTTGCTTAATGAGGTGTGCAATGAAGGATACTACTGCAGATGTGTAAACCAGCTGAAGTGGGACATTACTATGAAGTGCCACATAGCCATTAAATATATAAATGTAATAGTATGAAGTGAGTATAGCCCAATATGTTAAATAGTTAGTTTAGTGGACAAGTCTACAGATGTTAGGACACTCCAAAATATGTACACACATTTCTTTCCACAAAGAAAAGCCTTCATTAAAAAAGTTAAGATAAGAAGGGTCCAGTGATGGAATCTCCTCTAACATACCTTAATTCCCACATTCACCACTTTCACTGACCGACGCTGCCCACCCTTCTATAGGTCCCACAAACCTCCAACACCACACTCCTAATGGATTCTCTGTGCTGTGAAACCTTGATTGTAACTTGATATTTTCTAACAAGAAACCATAACATCATACATTAATTTACCAGCATATGGGTGTTTAAAGATGTGTTAATGTTGCTGAATATGAGTTAACGTTTTTTGTGATCATGAGGAATGCGGTGTGTACATTGTTTTCCTGTTAATGATTAGAGATGTGACTTCTTTACAGGAGGGGGAATCTGACAGTAAAAGTGGTGAATGATAGGAGATGAGGAGTTAAGAGTTGTAAGGAAACCTAAACTTGACATTTCCTGACCTTTAAGGGTTGGAGTAAGTGGTTGGTCACCATCCGTAATCTTAGCTATTTTAAAAAATATTCTATTTGTGGCAATCTTCGTTGAAGCGGTTATGTAGGTCATGTGGAAAAGAGGAAACAGACCCTTTCACCATTCAATATAATATATAC